CACAACACCTTAGCCCAAGTGATACAATCAGCAACACAACAGGATCAAGTACCTCTTAGAAAATGACAATTTGTGGTAGTTATTAATCTATCACCTTTAACTGTGTGAATTAAATCAAAATCAAGGACCAACCCAGCATATGTTTACAGTGAATAAACTCTTCAATATAGCAACTTTATGCTTCGGGATGCAGAGTTAGAAGGAGTTGAGAGGGAGGAATAGGTAAGTAGAAGGATAGGGGAAGGTTAGCCATGAGGCCAGAGGGCACAGGAAAGAGAAGGAAAAAGAAGAAAAAAATGATAAAGAAGAAATAAGAATTAGGGGCAGAACAGGAACACAAAGGGAGATGAAGAACAATGTGGGACAGGAAGGGAGTGAGGCGGAGAGAGAGAGAAAGAAAAGAGAAAAGAAAGAAAAAAGAGAAAAATAAAAATTTTAAAAGAGTAGCAAAGAAGAAAAAAAATTAAAAATAAGAGCAAAAAAAGGTGGTAATTTTGAAAATAACAAATAAAAGACAAAAATGAAGGGCCTACTTTAGGGTATGTCTCTGCTATCACAATAGACAATGTGGGGAGCACTGTGCAGTTATAAGTCAATGAGTCTCATTAACCCAGTCACAGACTGGTGAGATTCAGGCAGATTTCTGGCTATAAGTCCCAAGTTGAGCTCCCTGTCCTCCAGGAGGGTTGAACTCTGCAAGGTTCTACTGCAGATTCCAGCTGCCTTTCCCCTGAAGATAGTCCAGGTTCTGATGGGAGGTGATGATCCCTCCAACTTACCAAGCACGGTGGTCTGGTGTGCCTTCATTGCAGAGATTCTCTTTATTTTTACAGTGGGCTTCAGTTTTCATCAGGGAGCCTGAGAGAGGCCCTCTTTCTGTTGTTCACTTCTGAAGCTCAGAACAATGGCCTTTATGCTCCCCTGTGCCTCTGTAGTACGGATCCAAGTAGCTGTACAGCCAAGAGGTGAACGGGTGGGGTGGGGCTGTTGTTGCAGACGCCCACACGGCCAAGCTGGAAGCTGCTGGGCAAGCCTGGGGGTCCTCACTGGCTGGGTTTCCGGCTCACTCTCCTGGTTCCTTTCTGTTTTTTTTTTTTGAGACAGGGTTTCATTGTGTAGTTCAGGTTGGCCTTGAACTCACTATTGTAGCCCAGGCTGGCCTTGAACTCATGGCACTCCTGCCTCAGCCTCCTGAGTGCTGGGATTACAGGAGTGCACCACCATGCCCAGCTACCACAGCATGTTTTCGGCATTATTATAAACCGGGAACATACATATAAATATCTGTAACTATATTGACTTGGAATGAATTATCTTTTGTAAAACTAAACATGGAAACTGATTTCCAGTGAAATGGAATATTTCAAATATAGTCTGTACCATAAGAAATTAAATCATGCCCGTCAATATTTAAGATGTATATAGTCCTAGCTTAAAGGTAATGGACATACTTGAGTTTCCAAAGAAGTTTATCATAGTAGGCTTCACTCATTCATTTTATTTATATGATAATGATTTCAGAATAATTTTGGGTTGTTAGGGTGGAATTGAGAGTGTGGATGATCAAGATGATAGAATTAATGAAAAGTTTGAATCACCGAGTTTAAAGATATCCATCTGAATGCAGAAACTAATAATTCTGCTCTCAAATAGAGATTAAAATTGGAAACTATCTCAATAATAAAAGTAATTTAAAAATCAGTCTTATGTTTGTAAATTAATAATTAAAGGGCTAAAGTTGTTTTAAAAGTGTTCTCTTAAGAAATATATGTTCCTAAGCCAATTGTGGTTGATGTGTCTGTAATACCAGCAGTCAGTAGGCTGAAGCAGGAGGACAGGGTGTTCGAAGTCAGCCTGGGTTACATAGCAAGATCCTGTCTCAAATCACACACACACACACACACACACACACACACACACAGCCCCACCAAAAAAAAAAAGACAAAACACACAAAGAAAAACAGCCACAAAAAATGCACCTGACAAATATTTAGAAGTTAGATATTTTGTTCAAGACATTTGTTTTGCCTTTTTTTTTGGTACCAGGGATCGAACTCGGGTCTTTGCACTTGTGCAGCAGGCGGTGAAACCACTGAGCTAAATCCCCGGCTGTTTTGCCATTTTTAATTTAGGATTACTAGTAGAGTGTTAATTTTTTCTTGGTACCAGGGATTGAACTCAGGACCTTGCACTTGCAAGGCAGGTGGTAGAACCACTGAGCTAAATCCCCAGCTGTTAATTCTTTAAAGGCATAATTTGGAGCCCATTTGTGGAATATTTTAGAATGGATACAAATGAATTATAATGTGGTGATCATTATTCATTGGTTCACTGACTAAAACTTTCAAATATACAAGGCTTATTATTAAAAAGTAAACACACGTGGGCCAGGGATTTAGCTCAGTGGTTCTGGCGCCTGCCTTGCTAGCACAAGGTCCTGAGTTCGATCCCCAGTACCCAAAAAAAAAAAAAAAATCAACAAAAAAAATCACTGTGGTCAAGCTTTATTCTGCTTTTAGTTACCCATTGGGCATCTTCAAAATCACTGTGTCTTGGGGCTAGGGATGTAGCTCAGTGGTTCTGGCGCCTGCCTTGCTAGCACAAGGTCCTGAGTTCGATCCCCAGTACCCAAAAAAAAAAAAAAAATTGGGGCCAGGGATTTAGCTCAGTGGTTTTGCCGCCTGCTGCGCAAGCACAAGGACCCGAGTTCAATCCCCAGTACCAAAAAAAAAAAAAGAAAAAGAAAACATTAAAAAGTAAACACAGTTTCATGTGATATGACTTACAGATTCATCATGAATTCTTCCCGGTAGTACACCGGTCCTTAAATAATTCTGCAAGAATATAGTTGTTGCACAGTTAGAAACTGGACTGAGAATGAACCCTGGAGTCAAACAGATGAGTCATCAGGTTAGAGGAGATTTGACCAGGAAAACTAGTGTTCAGTGGCAGAACCGCTTGTAATCTTGCCTCCTCTGGGATATTGTAAAAGGATGACCATCAGCCAAGTATCCAACAGACTTTGTTAATCTGAGTGACATCTTAAAAAAAGCCATAAGGAAGTTATTTATGCAGCCTGTTCAGCTGTTTGGATTTTTAGTGAGTCTAATCTCTGCTACTAATTAGCTATGAGAAATTTAACAATAGTAATATTTATTTGTGTTGCCATTTTTTCTTAGCCAAAAAACAAAAACGAAAACAGACAATTGGATTAAGATATTTATGCTTATATAACATTGTGTAAATTTATGAATTATTATTCATGCTTCTGCTTGACTTAACATCTTTTTCTGTAGGTAATTCAAAGATTTCTGTAGGTAATTCAGTTCAACTTCAGCTTAAATTGTCCCAGGGTCTGCATTAATGGAATTTCAGTTAATGAGGCTTTTCCCCCTTTCTGTATATGTTAGACTTTAGTTTGCAGAGACCCAATGTTTTGTAATGTCAAATTCAACAACGAAAACAAGATATTTATTAAGTAAACATAAGGAACTCTGGGAGAGTGTGTCCTAAAGGCCCTGAAGGCCTCTCTCCCTGATGGTCCAGTTATTTTTTGATTTATGTCAGCTTGTAATTGCCCTTGTTTTGACCCAAGAGAGGAAGGGGAAGTTTTTCTCTGAGATAGAGGGGAAGTGTTGCTCTGTGGAGTGTCTGGAGCTTAAGCCTGAGTGTATGCAGTGTTCTTTACACCCCTTGATAAATAGGGAAATGTCCAGCGTGCTCCAGTTGGATAGCTGGAGTAGCTGCTAACTCTATCTGTACTCATTCTGGGAGGAAAAAGACAGTCTATAGTAACATCACCTAATTGTGAGTATTTTATCTTCCCTAAAATGAGAAAATTTTATAATTTTATGTTCTCTAAATGAAATAGAATTGTCAATTTTTGCTGGAAATTTACTTGAAGCTACTACTAAATTGTAATCCATTAATAAAAAAGTATTTTTGAGATCCAAAATTGCCACTATCAAAAATTAATTTTTGCAAAGCCAAGTAATTGATGGTTATTATGAGAGTCACATTATAAAAGGTATTTCCCCCTTTTAAAATGTGCTCTTTAAATATAAGAAATGTGATTAAATGAGGTAGGTTATATAGTAATTAGATTCTCCTCTAAAGAATGTTAAGGCAATTTTCCATTGTAGATGGACTTTAGTGGACATTTGAATGTAATAATATAAACTGCTTAATAATAATATTTGCTAAATGGACTTTGGTTTTAAACCAAGAGCATATCAATAAAATAACACGTGATAAATGTGTATTCAGGGAATTACATCTCTGCTGAAACTGCTATGATGATATAACTATGAAAGTTACTTGAAACTATAGAAATAGATATGAAATATATTTCTATATCTCTGAACTACATTGTGTATATACATATGTACCAGGGATCAAACTCGGGACCTTGCACTTGCGAGGCAGGTGCTGGTGCCACTGAGCTAAATACCCGGCCCTTGAAATACCTAAAATATTAATTTCATAGTCATTAATTTTCTAAATTTTAGTCTCTTTTCTCTTTCTGTTTCTTTCTTAATCTATGAAACTTACTTGACAAATATTACTTGCTTTTAAAATTTAAAGCTATATATAGAACTATATGGATCCATTTATATGAAATGTTTGAAAGAGGCAAATCTATGCATAAAGAAAGTAGATTAATGATTGCCACATATTGGGGGGAAGATGGGTTGAAGAGTGACTGCTAATGGATATGAGATTTGGTAGTGATCAGAGTGCTCTGGAATTAGATGATGGTGATAGTTGCAGACTGAATATTCTGAGCTGTACTTTTTATAAGCGTGTATTTTATAAGTAGATTTTATTTCAATTAGCTGACATATAAAGCTGTATGTAAAGATTTCACAGTGTAAAACACACTCTATAGCCTAAAATATACCCTTTTAAAGGAACAAACAAACCCTGATTTGTGTTATTGTTGAAATATATTATTTTCATTTCCCTTGGTTCCTATAAATTTTGACTAAAGAATTTTGGCTTAAGAAGCCCTCTGATGAAAAAACTTTTTATGATTATGTATCATTCTTGTATTTTATTTTTATTTTTTAATCAACTGCTTTTATATGAGACTATGAAATAACAATACCATTGCTTCCAATAAAAAATCAATAATTGTTTTGATAGCACTAAGGTAATTACAATCATTTGGAAAGATAGCATGAAGTGAGACTTTTTTACACTTATAACTAATCCATTTTAAACAAAAGCCAATCTTAAAAATGTAATTCTAGAAAAAGTGCAGTTATGCTAAGAACAGATAAGAAAGTACAAGGATCTCATAGGCTGTGCTATACCAGACAGATAAAAAGTAAAATTGATTTTATACTGTAAATCTATACAAATAAATAAAATCCTATCTTCTTTTCCTGTATGTATGCTTAGATTTCTTACATAAATAACAAAATACTTCATTCCATCACTTCAATAGAATGAACTCCTTAGAAAAAAACTTAAAAGAGCTGAAATTAACTCCCAAGATTTATGCTTACTTTTCCCTACTTTTATCAATTTCCTGACATATTTAACCTAAGCAAAAAAATCTTTTCTGTAAATTAAGCATACAAGTCTACATATGCCTTGAAGAATTCTGCCCAGTTGCATATATGCCATGTTGCTTTTGGTTTCCATCTCTTCTTGCTTCAACCCCCCATGTGAGTTTCTTCTTTTTTTGAGCAGCCTGAAAGTTTTCAGCCTCCTTTTTGGCTTTTATAAACTTGTGACAGGCAATTGCTTTGGCAATTTTTACACCAAGCTCTCCAGTAGCTAGCTGGTTGCTGAGTTCCTCAGCCTTCTCAACATCCCACGCTCCTCCACGGCCAGGTCTGTCCTCTTTTTCAAGGCCAGACTTTTCAACCTTTTTTCTTTTTAGAAGGGGTTCAAATCTATTATTGGCTCCGAAGCACGAGTAAGCTCCTTCCACTGGGTTTCATTTAAGGACTGCTCACTAGGAGATTCTTTTTCATTCTTTTTTTTTTTTTTTTTGGTACCGGAGATC